AGCACAAGGGCCCGAATTCAATCCCCAGTACCAAAAAAAAAAAAAGTGAATATCCATATGTGGCAATTTTCCTAATTATTATCAGAAGAGTTCTTTAAACAAAACAAAACAAAACTCTGATAAGGCTGGGGATTTAGCTCAGTGGTACCACCACCTGCCTTGCAAGTACAAGGTCCTGAGTTCGATCCCAGTACCAAAAAAACAACAACCAACAAACTCTGATATTGCTATAGACTCCTTGGCATTTCCATCCTACTGGAAATAATGTGATAGAAAGTCAAGACAATAAGGAGGGGGTGGTGGGGCCAAGGAGGCTCACTTGCAGTGCGCCTCGCTTCCTGGTGTATGGCTGAGCTCCCGTGCAGGGGGCCACTTATCCACTAGGTCCCTCCTTCCTCCCCACTGTCTTCTTCCAGTTGTGCCCCTTGAGAGAAGCAGAGGTTCTTGTCTTACTAGATCAGCGTGCAGTTTTTTGCTTTGTTTTATTCTTGGTGGTACTGGGGACTAAATCCAGGGCCTTTGAACTAAGATACATCCCCAGCCTTTCTATTTTTTTTTTTTAAGTATTTATCTGTCTGTTCCCTCCTCCCTACCTCCTTCTCTCATTTGAGACAGGGTCTCATTAAGTCATTAAATTGCCCAGGCTGGGCTCAAACTTTCAATCTTCTTGCCTCTGCCTCCCAGAATGTTGGGATTACTAATATGTACCACCAAGCTGGGCTAGTAGGAAATTTCAAAAAATTTTGCTTTTGGCCTCAGTAGAAAATCTTTTCTCTTGCTATTCTCTTGGTGACATTTCCTGTTAAGTACTAACAGTCATGTGAGAATTGGCTTCTCATGAAAGACAATCTGGGAAGGACGAGGCAATTTCCACTGTCTTCTCCCCTCCTCAAATCTGGTCCAATGTTACTGCTAACAGACGCACTTTGAGGTGAAGTGAAATGTTCAGTGAAGGAAATGGCCAACTGTTATTTACAAATCAATCAGCCATGAAGGGCTCTGCCTAATCATCAGATCAGATTCATCTAGAAGCGACATGAATTTAAACTGGTGTCAGCATGTCTCCTTTCCTCATTTCATTCCTGTGATTTCTGTTCCTGTCACCAGCCTGTCTGGTCACTTTTTCTGCATCTGATCTCTTTACATTGGTCACCCTCACGTAATTCACCGCAGTACCCCCAAGGTCAGCCCGTGGAAATTCGAGAGCCGTGTGGAGGAGCAAGGATGCAGCAGAAAAACGATCAGGTCCCTGGCTCGCCTTCAGTGCCAACTTGCCGTGTGACTCTGCTGGACTTGCTTGATATTTTGGAGATGACACATGCTTGTAATGCTAGCTGCTTGGGAGGCTAGGGCAGGAGGATTCCAAGTTCGAGGCCAGCCTGGGCAACTCATTGAGCTCCTGTCTCAAAACAAAAATATATACTACTGGGAGGCGGGCTGCGATTCGGTCCTCCTAAACACACACAGGAGCGCGCACACAGACGCATGCACACGCCTCTGGCTCCAGGGAGATGAAGCTGTTGGGGGAAGGTGGGAAGAGCCAGCTTCTTCTTCATTTAGCTCTGGGTTCATGCTGCCCTTCCTCTAGCACGTGAGTTAGGGTGAAGGAGGAATCTATACTCCTTGGAAGTAAAAGACTCAGG